TTGAGTTCAGTGGATCTGACCTCTAATTGCTTATAATCATGTGTGTTGATCTACTTTTCTTACACTGGACCAAAGCCTAAATTAGTCATTTTATCTCCTAATTGCTCCTAACTGTTGGATGAGCAGGCCTTTTAGCATCTTCACTGTGGCAGCATACAGCTGGATTTACTGCGTCCCTGTAATAGGTCTGGTGTCTCCAGGAAGTTTTTCTTTGACTGTACAGAGTAGTATCTATAAGGTTAGCATCTCTCAGTGTTGGAGCTATTGGTTATCCCTGCTGTACACAATCACAAGATTCAGGAGTAGGGATGTCCCATGGAAGACAGTAGTCAGGAGCATACCATTGCCTCTTAAAGCAGGTTGCATTATGGTCTCTCTTCTGGTCACCTTTTCTAGGTGTCCTGGTTTCATTAGTCCAAGGATGTTCACTGGTCAAGGGAAATATACAGAAATGCTTACTGCTAGCTCATCTGGTCCTCTGTGTGCTGTTGAACGGTCCTGGGAAAAAAGGCCAGCAAGGAATGGGCTACAGGCTGGATGCAGAGTCCTAGAGAAGGGCAAAGAGGAGCTGCAGATGTGACTTTTTTTGCTGGTTGTCATTCAATAACAATTGTGGCTCAGTTTATGTGTTTCAGGATATGTTAAAATTTGAGCTTGGGAAAGAGGAATTTTTCCATAGGTTTATTATTACATTTTTCTGATGTAATGAAAATATAAACAGTTCTTATTAAATCCTGTTATTTAATACAAAACACAAGGGTTGGGACTAAACTCTTTGGCATGATTCTTCAAATATAGCACTGGCAGAAACACAGTGAAGAAATTCATATCTATGAGTTGTCTGCATTACTTGACACATTTTTGTTGGGAAAGCCAGCTTGGTTCAGACATAGTGTAATCATACCAGACCGTTTGCCCTTTCCCGAGTCTCCCATTGACCTTCATACTCCAGTGAATCTTAATTTTTAAACCTAGGGAAAGATAGCCTGTTGCTTCAGGATGTTGCTTCAGGCCCCTATTGGCATTAAATGTATTGTTTAAAATCTCTTAACACTGTAAATCAAATTGTGCCTCTTATACAATTGAAACTGAAGTACTTAGTGGGCTGAGGGGAAAAGACACCAGGCTAGGGGAAGTGGTAAATAAGCAGAAAAAATATATCCCCCCCAAATAAGGCTGAAGTGAGAAATGCAGAAGTGCATATCTATATATAGACACATTTACATAGATGTATATACATGTGCTCGCACACACACACACACACACACACACACACATACACAGTAACGTTACCCAAGGTCTGATAGTAACTGGGGACTCAAATACAAATGTTCCTTTTCTTTTTTTTTTAATATAATGAAAATTTGCAGACAGGATTTATGACTCTAGCATCATTTGTCTGGATGATGTATGCTAAATTTACATCTAACTACACGTAAGTAACTACGTGTGTGTGTGTATATGTACATAGTTTTGTTTTATCTGTGAGTTTGTTTTTCTTGTTTCCACATGCAAAGATCTGAGTGTAAAAAGATGTATTTGTGATAAGCTGGTAGACATTCAAATTGTGAAGCTTATCCAAGGCTTGTCAGGGTGAATGTACTGCAGATGCAAAACCCTTTTCAAAGCCTCACAGGAACCAGACATCTCTTGCAATATTTCAAATGGAACCATTTGCTTGGACTGAAAAATTTCAGATGCTCAAAGAAATATAAAGATGGGGCAGAAAAAAGCCTACTTAAACTTTCAGAAGATTTTGGCCCGATTTCAGCCCAACTGGTCATGTAAGATGTTAACAAGGGTCTTAATGTTCAAGCTGACAGCGCTGTATGGAAGTGTTTTGTACTGAAGATCCCTGGGAATTTCAGTCTGCAGTCTTCTAAGTTGGCTTCCTGTGTGGACATTAAAAAAGAGGCCTTTGATCTCGTCTTTAGCTGTGGATGCACATAACTAAAATTCTTACATTTGTCTACATGGCATGAGAAAAAGAGGCTTCCCACCACAGGAAAAACTTAAAAGTAACCTTGCCCATTTGCATGGTAGAGATTCTGTTACAGAATATAAACTGTCCATAAGCCCTAGATAAGAAGCAACCTAGATCTGTCCTGGCCCAGATAGATATTCCTCCAGGTAAGACACACTGTAAACACACTTAGAAGTAACATAATGAAAAAATCCCTTGCTTGCCCTATTTCTTTAGAACACTTTATCTGAAGAGGACAGCAGGACTGGCTGGTAGCCTCATGGCCCAGGGCTTCCTCTGAATTCTTTTTAATACTTCCATGGTGTTGTGTTTCTCCTGTGGTCTTTCAGCTCAGTGTGTTTCTCAGCCACTTCCCACTTCCTTCAAAAGGAAATTCTCAGCCTAAAAGACTCTGATTTCAAGGAATGGGGCATAAGACACCTCCCTGAGCTAAGTTTTCCCACATGTGCGAAGTATGAAACTTCCAGTTTATGGAGGAGAGTTTACCAAAAGTGGGATTTTTGGATTTAGCAATAGACAGTGGTGATCAGTGCTTTGGGGATTTTGTTGCATAGGGACAGATGTCCCTATTTTGTCTTGACTGTAGGATATAACATGTCTCAGACACTTGTTTAATCAGGAGCTAAAGTGGGCCCAGCTCTCTCCAGTCTTGTGCTGCTTTAAGAATCTTGGGAAGAACAGACATTGTGGTCATCCATTGAACTGATCAAGAGCGTTTGGTCAATTTTCTGTTTCCCAGAACTTCATGATTTTAAGAGATGTCATCACAAGGAATATAAATACATCAGGACCAACCTTTGAAATACAGACATGAGAAACAGAGCACATGAGTGTGTAACAACCTCCCTTGCTTAGATGGCACACAACAAATTGTCTTTGTGGATCTCCATCTGTGGGACATTGGGGAGAGCTGACTCTGTTTATACTGTGTGCTCAGACAGCAAAAATCGCATGCACTTTACTCTGAGAACAGCTGAATGATGTGCAGGTAATACAAGCCTTCAAAAGGCCTGACATAGAAGGTTATTCTTTCATCTACTATTCCACAGCAAAATATTCCATTGGATTTTATCAGACCCCGTCAGTTGGGGAAAAAGGAAGGATGGGCAAACATGCAAGAGTTGTTTTTTTTTTCTTTTTGGTTCTTACTATTCACTTCTTTTTATTTCTTATTTTTCAGTCAACCTGACTTCAAAACAGAGTAAGCAGACTTGATCTCACCATGTCTTGGCTATCCCGGGGATTGCAATTGCACTGAGCCCAGAATAGATGTGCATGGAAATTGCACATTTTCAACTGATGGCTGCACAAGATCAGAAGCCGTGGCAATGCTGACACTTTTGGCCTGGAACTTGGCAGGGCTGTGAAAAACTGTGGAGCTGCTGTTGCAAATGGCTCATTTTCTGACTTAGAGGGGAAGAACTTGTAGTTTCAGATGTACCACTTCTGCAGATCAGTGAAAAGGGGGGAGACTTTGGTATCAGTCCACTAGCTTATCTCTCGCAAGCTGAGAGAAGTTAATATAAAGCATTGTAATCTCTTTCACAGCCTCCAGGACTCATAAGAAACCATAAGAAGAAGTTTCTCAAGCTTAAAGTGTTCTATAGGATACTAAATCTTAAGTCTCCTGGAGGCCACTGGGGAAATGAAAAGGTGTAGTTGTCACATTTTGTCAAAGTATAACATCTATATAATAAGCCAGTTAGCTCCCTTTCTTCAGACCCAGCCCAGCTTGACGTACTAGGGCCATGTTCTTTGTTTTCCAGTTTTATTGATATGGTGTGTTGTTGGTTTTTTTGTTTTTTTTTTTAATCAAAGCAAAATAAAGCTCACCTTGGGCCAGATCCTCAGATGTTTTAAATTGGTGTTGCTCCACTCTCACTGATGAGACTGATTTATTTCAGCTGGGAACCTAGATCCTGATTTACATTCTCATTCTCTGTTCTCTTTGGTACCTCTGGTCTTTTAGCTTCAATTTCTACCCTATTTTCTTTTGTTTAATTATATCAAAACCAGAAAAAATGTTATGTTTTCATCCTCAACACTTAGCAAATGTGCCTTGGTTATAAGCTGGACAAGCAAATGGATGATTGAAAGAGTTTGGTTTGCTTTGCAAATCAGATCTTGGCTTCTACAGAGAGGAAGGAGACTCTTCTTAAGATGGGACCTCTGAAGAAGGAGTACAACCAAGAAAGGACATTCTCTCAGCAAATTAAGGTAGGTCGCATGTAACAAGAGATAAGCAGAATAAATGGACAAGCAGGGTAAGTAAGGAGATGGCTTTTATGTTGATTTTCAGGCTGTTTTTGGTAGAACTTTGGAGACAATGAGTGGTGAGGAGATAGGGAAGAGACATAACAAGTGTGAAACCTAATGAAGAAAGAGAAGGAAAAAATGTCATGATAGAGTGGGGAATAAATCTCTAAAGAGAAGATGGACACTTGCACAATAACTTGTTCATTAGTCCTTGGTTTATATTCCCTGCCTCAGAATTGTCACTTCTAATTATCTTTTCACCTTTGGTTATTAACCGCAATCACAGAAAACTAATGATCACCAACCTTGCTTCAAAATATTCACTGCATAGTGCCTGAGATTATAACAGTTTTCTTAATTTGACCATATAAATAGCAATAACTAAGAATTTGCATAAAAGAAAAACAGTCATGAGCCTGTGAGTCAAATGTCTTTAACAATTAAAGCTTCTATGGTAAGAAGAAGGTTAACTGCTGGATTTCTTGACACTCGCACATGCCTGATATATTTAGTATCTTAGACACAGTTTTCCTTTCCTCTTTTTTTTTCTACCCTGTGGAAGCTAAAACTTTATTATAAAATTGAAGATAAGTATATCAGTTTGCTGGATGCTGGCAGAGCAGAACGCAAGCAATGAGAAGATAAGGGAATTTGGTCAAATACAAAAAATACCATGGAACCTAAACCAAATGACATCAGATAAGACCTCCACTGACTTTCTATTAAAAATGTAATAAATAAGGATCACAGAAAAAAATCCTTTTTTTTTTTTCCCAACACTTTTTTTTTTGTTATTGTCTCTAGTGCTTCAGAACTGTATCTGTATTAGTGCTGTTTTCCCATTTAGAATAAATAAATGCAAGTCAGTTTATACTGAAGGTCTGTCAGGTCCAGATTAATGATGAGAATATATATATTTAATTTATAGACTTAATTATACACTTGTGGGACAGCCTTACTGGCCTGCTTAGGGACTTAACTGTAGTATTAGTAAGTCAGTGAATCCTGAAATCTTGACCAGCAGTTCTGAGAGCACAATAAAGGCTGTTGAACTGGATGGAAATTGAGTTAAAATCAGTGTAAATGTTACTGTGATCGGTAGTGGCAATGTTTGGTTTTGAGTGAGTATTCAGCTTCCCAGATGTTCAGAGCTAGGCTCTTGGATGGCAGCAGCGCAGTGCATTGAATTGGTTTGTGGAGCGCAGCGTAGCTCTGTTGAAACAGTTCAGCTCCATGGACTGGTGTTATTCTTGGCTGTTGGAAAGGGCTGCTGCTTAAGCTGCTGCTTCACCAAGTGGGAAGAGAGGGATTGGTAAAAAAGAGAGGAAAAAGCAGAATTTCCTCTTGAGGTCTGTTATTCATTCTAAAATCCCTTCCGTTCACTAGAGACCTCCAAAAATGCAGTTTGTCTGCAGCATCTGCAAGATGTCACTGGTGATGAGAGACAGCCGCAGATAGCTTTACTGTGGTGCTTTCTTCACCCATCTTGGATGTTTTCCCTTACAGATGCAATTATCCCTAGCTGGCAATGTTTGTGGATTTAATAATGTAGACACTGGGAATCAGACCATGAATTGTAAAGAGCATATATTTAATTGACAGCTCGTCCAGGATTTTAATGTGTCTAGATCTTGGTATCACCTTGCTTGGGACTCGGGTAAGCTCTACATCACTGCATAGAACTATAAAAATAATAAAAGATATCCTTATTCATGGCATAGTCTGCTGGAGAGAGGTAGGGGAATTGCAGTTGCTCTTAACAGCAACTCTCTCCTCATTTCATTTCCTATGACACCTACAAACAGAAAACGGTCACACTTTCAGTCTGGCGGCACATTAGAAATAAGGCATAGAATGGATAATTTTTGCCTTGAAAGCATTATGGAGTTGTTTAATTTCAGAGGAGGTTTTGGACTCCTTCCATCCAGGAATATTTTAACCTTTCCAGTAGTTCACTGTTCGCACCTACCTGTTTGGCTCAAGCCAGGCTGTCTCAGGGCTTTGGCACTGATAAACTTTAAATGACAGGGCAAAATATACATTACAGGCTGGAAAAGAGACAGTGTTTTTGATGGGAGAGGAATCCCCTTTGGGCTTGATGCTTGCCTGTGGCCTTAGGTGAGGTTTGCTTAGTGGTGTCTGCTCGGTCTCCAGTGGACAATATTCTGTGCCATAAAAAGACTCCATGCATAATATGACGTCTATGTTGGCCTCTGCCTTGAAGAAACCCGGATGAGAGCTGTTTATATCCATCTAGGGACAATCTCCAGTAGGAAAGATAGTACTCTTTGGCTAACGGATATCTATGCCATTTCATTTTATTCCACATTTCAGTCTTATGGATCTTTTTCTTCCACCCCCCTTTATTTTTTTTTCCCCTTCTCTCTCTTTACATTTAACTTCAATGTGGGGATTTTTAAGCATCTGTAACTTTCTTGAAAAAGGAGTGAAATGATCAGCATTCATCATATGCTTTAATTAAATTTAATTAAAGAACGTTAAACATGATATGTACAAGTGAATAATCAGTGTCAGTATAATTCTTTCTCCTTCACACTTTAAGCTCTCAGTTCTTAGGCAGAATCAGGTTATAAAAAGTTAAGAGTCAACAATAAAAATCAAATCTCAGAGAAAACATGCTGTGAAAGGAAAAGAGACAACAGACCCACAGAAATCCAACCAACCCTTATGCATTTGTGCATTCTACCTGGCACTAGTAATCTTTTCCCTTATGGTACTGCACACTGTAGGCTTACAGTAGTGCAGGTATTTTCCCAGTGCTAGGCTCAATTTGGGGTGTGTGAATGTGCACCCACACGTGCATCTCCCAGCAGATAAAAGAGAGTCAGTAAGAGAAAGTGTGTGTCACACCCTCTAAATTCAGGTGGCCTCAAGCAGTGCCATATAATCCCAGCCTCAATTAAACTTTCCAAGGTCAGTGGTGTTCTACCAGGTCAGACATAAATAAGTCAGGTGAGAGTCCTAGGGCACTGAAAAGCCATATTTATTCTTTATCCACAGTTCATAGCTATCAAATGAAGCCTAACAGAGAGAGGGAGAGGGAGCGTGTGTGAGAGTGTGGCTCTCAAAGCTGATCTTGGTTTTTATTTTGTTTTAGAGAAAAAACACAGTTCTCACACAGCCCTACCTTAAAACTGCAGGAAACTTCACTGTGACTCTGGAAGTTTCTGGAAGACAAAGGAAGAGATTGCAATTCAATAACATTGTGTTCAGTGATTAAGATATTCAAGTGCAAGTATCCTATTAGCTCTGAAGTTTTTCTTCCAGATTTTCTTAAGAGAGCTTTCTTATCTTTCAAAATTTAGTTCTGTCTATAGCTAAACCTTTACTGCGTGGAGTGTGAGACTGCATAAACAGTCTCAACAAACAAACCCCACCTGAATTCATGTATTCAGATTTCATAACCTGATCCTGCCAGTAACGGGCCAATATTGCACAACCTATTGAAGGCTTGTAAAAGTTTATTTTCATTTTCTGTTGTTTTAGGAAAGCAGAAGAAAGAGTAGGGAGAATAATGATGTATATATCTTAGTCCAAAAGGGTTAAAGACTGTGGACTTACATTGGCTTCTCTGGATGTCAGACCCACTGAGAAGAGTTATCACAGTCAGAGAAAGTAATTAAGGACAGTTGAGGTCCACTGATTTCTGTACTGTCTGAGGAACAAAGTGAATTTTATAGGCTAATATGACTAATAACCAAATTAATATATATGTTTTAATAAGCCAACATACCAAAAGTCTACCTTGCTGTGATGCAGAATATGTTAAAGGTGGAATTTTGACGTGTCATTAGAGCTTTCTCATTTTATTATTTAGCAGGGAAAAAATAATCGTTGAGGATAATTTTTGGGGTGAATTATTAAAAACAAAATGAAAATCCTCCTCCTAAACTCTCATTTCTCTATGACTGAAAAACAAGAGAACCCCCTAAAATGTGAGCACAGTCATGTTGTAAAATTGTTTTAAGCAGAAAGTGTAAGTACTTTTTCCTAAGAAAAGCTCAGAGGTCTGGAGCTGGTTTTGTTAGGTTGACCTAACTTGGTTTACACTAGTTTACACAGTCGAGAAACTGATACATTAATGCTGCTGGGAAAGTCTTCTCATAGCTTTGATTTGTTTTCTCTTATTTCATCTTTTCATTATGATTAAGATATGGAGATCTGTTAAGTATGATAAGGTGTGTATATATATATTTGCTTTCTATAGACTTTCACTTTCCTGTTGAAAGAAATAGTTTTGAAAGTGCAATTGAGTAATAACAAAAATAAATTTCCAGATATCTTTATGAATGATAGTGCTAGCTTTTATTTAGCATATATAAGGAGATCACATCATTAATTATTGTGGATATTCAGACAGTGGATACTTATACACATGGTTTTGGATCACTGAACGTATACAACTTTTGTCAAGGGTAACTTTTAATCTGAGAAATATTCAAACACATGTATAATCACACATTTATCTTCCTTACAATAACTTGCAGGCTTCCAATCAGGGAATGGAAAAAATACTAGGTGATTAGCATCTCCAGACACATAATGGCTAGTGTTGATTAGTTAAAGCGAGCCTTTTCCAAACAAAGAAAAGTATTTGTCAAAACTGTTATACAATTTTGGATATATTTGCTCTATTCATCGTCAGGCAGCTGTATTAGTGATTCTGATTATGAAAATTTTAAGATAAAGATAACATTAAAAAGCACAGGGCATTAGGGAGAGTTTATGGGGGACAAAGTGCCATAAAGAAGTGTTTACAGAAATATCAGTCTTATTTTATAGGCTTTCGTATTAGAAATCATTTTAGCACTTGGTATCTGTTAGCATATGTGTTAAGAGTCCTCTGCTTCTGTGCCTCTGGTTTTAACATCTGTAAGTATAAGGGAAAAATCTTGACAAATGTTTCTGAAGGTTTTATGTGCTCTTTATCCTGACCCTGGATTGCAGTCCATGTTATGCCCGTTACAATAATAGTAGAATTGGGATCAGATGACTGGTTCTACAGATTAGATGCGAAGAGAGGGTGTTACAACAGCGTACTGGGTTCCTGTTAGATTTTAACCATGTACCATGTTTTGGTGAAAGAACAAGGAGGGGGGGGAAGGAAGGAAAATTTATCTTTTTGTGATATCTGCTTCCATCATGCTTCCCCAGCTAGCTCTCAAAAATGTGTCTTAGTAGTGAATACGTTGCATGACTCACTCTTGAAGGAAGGAATTAAAGCAAACCTCAAGCAATCAATGCCATAAGAAGTTTCACCAATAGCTGGAACAAAAGGTGATTAAATGAAGCTGGATCCAAGGACACTTTTTCCCTGAGAGGAAAAGATAAAATGTCTCTTTAAGTCTAAGTTGATATAAATGTATATAGAGGTTTTAAATATAACTCCCACATCACCGAAGCACTCAATCTTAAACATTGGCACGTAGCAAGGCCATGGAAACTCTTTCAGCTGCAGGGTCCCATTCCTCACTTAACAGACTTTTTGATAATTTACAGTTATCTCCACCATGCTAAAGATACCGATTAAGGGATATGAGCCAAGTGCTTTTTCCAGGTCCAAGTTAGATTAGTTACAACATCCAGAGTTATTAATTGGAAAGAAAAAGGGAGGGCATTACAGAGGGCATTATATAGCTCAACATTTTGCATGTATCCATGTGTTCTGGTTCTCCATTTATTCAGAGTAAGCATTTGAAGTCAGTGGCTGAAAAGAAAGTAAATGCTCATAAAGTTGTCCTCTGCGAAGATTCCCAACCCAGATAAGCAGCACTGCAGCAAGAAAATTAAACATCTAAAAGGTCCCAGGGATTCCTCCAGATTCAGTGTGCTGCAGAGCTTCATGTAGGGATTACTCTACTGACCAAAATCTTTGTTTTATGTTATTCTTTCCTCTGAACCCACCCACCATCATGGGCAGAAGGGCATGGTCAGCGTGCACAGCAGAAATTGTTCAGTGCATCATCAGCCAGAGTTTACAGCACAAGTTTTTGGCTGCTTTGATTTCACTGTACTCTGTAATGGCTGTAGAAAATCAGCCTGTGCCTCTAACCTGCTTTGAGATGCCCTCGGACATAGTGCTGGGTGACAAAAATTATTTATTATTATTTTTGTTATTTTCATAGATTTTTACACATCCAGAGTTCACACTGGGGGAGAAAGTTATGAACCTGTTATCTTTCACGGGTTATATTATTGATCAAAGCCAATGATGATGTTAAAGTTATATAAATGTTTTGTAGGCCTACAGTGATTCATGACTCTCTGTACAGTAGCAGTGTTCCTGATGTTGTTGCACTGTCAGGAGCTAATGTTCTGATTAATGCATATTTTCCTTCCTGATTTAAGAAATAGCTTATGGCTAAAGATCCTTAGATGTTCTCTGATTTATTGCTTCTTTTTTTCCTTTCCAGTTTCTTATTCCTATATATATATATGTATGTATAGTATAAATATGTGTATTTGAAAATGTCAGCTTTAGAGATATCTCTGATGCAATACTCTTATGAGTTGTCTCTAAAGGCTGGTATTTGTTTTGAAGAATGAATTTTGTTAGGCCATGTCTGCAAATCTATCCTCTGATGGGGATGTGCTAATCAGCATGTGCTGTTTGTCAAAACAACACCAAACAAATGTGGCCCTGTCATTTACAGGCTTATAGGGGACAAGGGGGAGGCTGCTTCTACTGTTAAAGCAGCATGAAAAGTCAGGGTGATCTACCATAGTTGCAGTATGGAACTATCACGCAGTACACTTGTGCCCTGGCTCTTGTATCCCAGGCAGTTGGGAAGTGTTTGGGAAGGGAGTGGGTGTGATGGGATACACCTTGGGCTACCCAGCTGAATGGTCTACAGGGAACAACCTCCAGACATGACGTAGCTCAGTCCTTAGGTCTGCTGAGGTCTAAGCACCAGAGCCAGATAGCAGAAGGTTGGCTTAAGGTATTCTCCTTGGTTTTTCATAGGGCTGGTTGGGGTAGAGGATGGGCTTGTGAAGTGTCGTTGAGCACTATAACTGCTTTTGTTGCTTACACCCTCTCCCTGGGCAGCAGTGTCAATGGAAATTACTATGCTTCTGCAAAGCAGTCAGTGTCTGATTTTCCTTTCGATTTCCTCATGCATGGAAATCTAAGTGTTTATGGTGATGTCCATGTTGATTTCTTCAGTCTTAAGTCAGAACTGAAGCCAAGAATAGTTATCCCCATAAATTTTGTTCATAGGTGTCTTTGTTAAGGACAAGACAAATGTATTTCGTCTGATGCAGGGACTAGCCACAAATTCAGTATGTTTTTTTTTAGGTCTATTTACTAAAAGTGGAATTTTTGCCAGTTAGACCTCTGGTCCTTTAGCCTAAACTTGCTGGAGGAGTGGTGTGCAGAAGAAAGTACCCACTTTGTTTTTATCTGCCATGCTGTAAACCACCTACTTGTGTCCTTTTGTGTCTATTGTGAAGCCTGTTAATAGTTGTTACTGCTAATTGCTGTGCTTAGCTTGCTGTGTTCATCTATGTGCAGAAACCAGGGAGATCAAAGAGCAGTATACTCCATAAAGTCTTGCAGTGTTCATTCTACAGCTCTAATTCACATGCTCATGGCTGAGGTACTACACTGGGGGATGGCACAGAACATCTGAAAACTGAAGGAGAGAAAAATTACCAGTATGTCGCTCAGACTTTTGGACTGCTTCAGCTGTAGTTTCAAAATGAAGTGTTTTGCACTGCTTTGATACAGGACAGTGCCTTTGGAGGCTACCCCAAGGCCTGTGTTATCTGAAGCAGCCTATGAGGGATGATAAAATTTATCTTTTCTTAAAAAAAGCTGCAGAGAAGCACAGAAGTGTACAAAACCTCATGAATCATGAAGTTTCAGTGCCTCAGTAGATGATTAAAAGCCACAAAATGAGCAGTCTGTTCCCTCAAGACTTTAACAAACCAGATCTTCATTAAAGTGATGTAAAAGTTTTAAAAATATACATTGTTCCACCAAATAAGAGTTGAAGGATCAAGAGCCTTCTCAGCATCCAACACATCTGAAATTAGAAGTGCCTTGGAGGTGAAAATGCTCACCTAATCCTATGAAGAGGCTCCAACCTAAAGTTGCATTGGAAACCCCCTTCTTCCACCTACCCTTGACTTAGAAGTGGGGGCCCTGACTGCCATTATTATGAACATTTCAAAGGGTTGTAGATATTCCCAACCACAAAAAGGCCTCCCTGAGGCCTTTCTTCAGACTTAATTTTGGATTCTGACATGAGACATGCCAATATTATTAAGCTGCATTGTCCACGTGTAGTCTTTTGAGGAAGAAATGATTGCAAAGGCACTTTTTTCAGCTGGAGGTGGCCTTGGCACCATCAATGGTTTGGGTAGGTTCTAACCTGGAATATAAGCAGGTTCTATAACATAGAATATACTTTTTAGTATTTTGTTCTTAAATGATTTTAGGTTGATAATAATAGTCATGCCACCAGCTTTGGCACTGCTACAGACTCAGTAGAGTTCAAGTGATACTTCTGCTCAGTCTTCAGCAGTCTCATTAATTCTTATAAGAAAGACTTCATTTTATGTTGCTGGGCAAAATATATTAAGAACCCAAATTTGGTGTCTCCCAGGGGTCTGTCTTGCTTTAAAGTATTCACCAGACCTCCGGCACATTATTATGGGTTGCCTGCTTATGTAAACTGTAGATTTTTGTTTCTGCTCCTGTCTGTTGAGATAAAATTACCAGCTGATGTTTACCCAGAGACATAGGAATAACAGTATTATTAACCATTCCTATATATTTTGTGTCATTATGACTGTAAGGGCTTGTCTGAATAATAAAGATTCCCTTGAGTGGGACTCACTAGGGTAAATGACTGTTTAATAAAGACAGATAATGTAGATGAATCATTTTGACTACTTAGAGGAGCAATTGTGCTAAAACTCCTAACTTGCACAAAGTCCTCTGAACACATTAGGGGGTCAAATCCTGCCCCTTGAAATTATTGTAAAATTGCTGCTGAGTGGAAAAGGACTGAGGTCTCACTTTAGGAACAGGGACATATTTTTAGCAATGTGAATTTAATTCATTTACATGGGGGAAACTTAACTGCTATCATTTCTTAAACCTTAAGACTGTAAATACTATAAAAACATGCCTACATAAATGTCTATATTCCATCTTCATACATTGAAATATATGTTTAAAATAGATTTCTGCTAAATTATATGGCTCAGCTTTCTGTCTTCTCCATGATGTGATACTTCATGCTACACTGAAAGAATAAGAATATGAGTTTATTAAGTTTACTCAGAAAACTATTCAGTCATCTGTATGAGCTCTTGGAGCTATGTCAACATTTTCTTGAAAGATATCTGAGATTATTTGATGTTTACTTTTTTAAGTACAGTATTTGTGAGTAAAAGTGCACAAGAACATTTTATTACATTTTAAATGTAATTCCTGATCCCAGGGTGCTGTCTATATAAATCTGAACAAACCTACGAAATCACTATCTATATTAGATCAGCAAATCCTCTCAGTCCCAGAACTGGTCAATGTGTTAAGAATAGGAGGCAAAAGTGAAATTCCTTGGTAATAAAACTTCTGAGCCTTGACAACTGTGAGGTAATGTCATTTCTTGCAGCATTGCCTAGACCTTTCAAAGCACACCACTCTTTATTATATGCCTTTCCTGTGTCCCTAAACCTTTACTTCTGAAGTGCACATCTCGCAGGTAATTACTATATAATGTACTTTTCAATCAACCTCCTAATTCACTCAATGTAGCACGAGCTTTAGATAAACCAGGAAGATGTGAAATGCAGAATAAAAGGTTTAGGTTGTATGATACCACTCACCTGTTCAAAATCTTTTGCTATCTGTGGAAAAAAATGAAGAGTTCTCCTCCAGGATAATTCAGGTGGCCCAGCTCTTCTCCCAAGCAGCGATGACATGAGCTCTCAGTATTACTGCAAGGTCCTGCCCCAGTCTTCTTTCCTAAAGGTGAAGCACAGAGTGAATCGCATCTCATCTGGAAAGTAAAATAAGGAGACTCACAAGGGCCTGCCTCCTAATTACCAGATTTCCCATGACTTTTGTGCAAGTCCCCTAAACTGAAGAACCTAAATTCAGGGTTAAAATTTGTGTTGTGTTTTGTAAACAGATCCAACCTTTTGTAGAGGAATTGTTGGCTGCTGCTGTTATTATTATGCTTGTACATGCACACTGAGGTAGGCTCGCCTCTGCTGGCATTGTGGATGTATTTAAATTTACTGTGATCAAGGCAAAATACCCTGCTGAGAGGCCCAGGTTCAGCAGCATACTAATAAAGTATGTGACTATTGGACAAGAGCTGCTCTCCATCTGGCAAACCCTGAGCATGGACTTGAGTAGGATTTCAGTTCTGTGCAGTAATCCCTGTGGATTTACCCAAAAGTTTTTGAGGGGCCCCAGTACATGAGATGGCAAAATATATAGTCCCATCTCTAAAAATACATGTTGCATAGTTAACAATCATAGAGTTCATGGAAGCATTTAAAGATAAAGGAAAGGGGCAGCTAGTGATTATATACAGACATTTGCATTTTTATTTCCTTCTGTCCTTGAATCAGTCTAATCTTTAGTGAACAAGGTAGAGCATGGCCAATATGGACACATTTGTGTTATGCAAATTCCTCTGGAATAGTTGAATGACAGGTAACAGATTGTATTTTGGAGCTCTTCCATGTAGAGTGAATCAACAATTTCCCGCAAGTCAGTCTAGCAAAAAATCTGTGTGGTTCCTTTTGCTGCATACACAGCTGTGAACTTCTGTGTTGACTGCTTTCAGCTGAAACCAAAAATAGTTCTAAAAAAATAAAGAGTATTTAGACATTAGAGGTACTGAGAAATGTAAAAGATAGCCTGAGTTCATCCTCAGAATTCCAGTCCAAATTTCCAGCCAGCTTGGCTGGGGTAGGTTTTTCTCCCTCTCTCCAGTAGCCCCATATTACTCACCTTGATGTCCACAGGGAGAAATATGAGTGTGTTCTGGAGCAGCTTGACCCTCTCCATAGAGAGGAGTAGGGAAGAAGCTCATAGACTTGTTTGGGTGGAAGGGACCTTAAAATCTCATCTAATCCAACACCCCTGCAATGAGCAGGGACATCTGACCTAGATCAGGTTGCCCAGAACTGCATCCAGCCTGAATGGCTCCAGGGATGATGCATCCACCACCTCTCTGGGAAAACTATTCCAGCATGTGAACCTAGGGCAGAACAGTGCCATTTGCTGTGTGATCAATGAGACCAGTTTCAAGATAAGACTCCAGTCCTTAGACATCAGAAACTTCCCAATCTGCTCTGTCAGAAACAGGTGATGATGAAGCTTTATGGCAGTCCTCAGCACTGGGTACTGCAGAGCTGTACAACACCAGCCAAACTCTTAAAAAAGCAGCTCTGAAGTGCTATGGACAACACATGAGAAGGCTTTAGGAAAACTATTTGGCAGGATTTATTCATATTTCAAAAAGTTGTAGTGTTTCACTTCTGGAGGAGCTTACTGCTCTTTGGCACTGGTACTCATGGGATTAACATTTCATGCTTATAACATTGAAATAAATAGGAAACAAGATTTCAGGAGAAATAAAAATGCTGTTATTCAAAAAGCAGCATGATGATTTTCTTCCTAAATGTAAGCTTGGCCCAGTCAGGAATACTTATAATTTATTTGGTGACCCTTCTCTGTAAAATATTTTACTTGTGTAGACCACATTAATTTGTAATCATGGTAAAATGGTCTGTACTACTGCTGCTGCCTCTGATTCATTGGTGACCTGTACAAGGAGGCAACACATGCTTATTGTTAAAAAAAGAAAAAAGAACAGAAGGATCATCTATTGCTTAGATGAAAGACAGAGACAAAATAACCAATCTGTAATGCAGATTTATTAATAGTCATTCACTGGTTTTCACTGAAATACTCTTCACGTAACCTTGACTTTATTAAGTAGTCCTTAAGGTGCATTTTGAAGACAGATAATGAGTTTGGGGAATAGTCTTATCTACATCAAGCTAATCTTTAACAGCTTGGAAGGGAACTCACAGAAACTTTTCCACTTTAAGTGACATAGCCATGTTCAAATCAAGCCTTTTAAAATGTCATTTCAATAGGAAGAGTTTACAGGCATTTTTAATAGCTATACTTCATAAAGGAATATGATTTAAACAAAGGTGATAGAAAAAGTTATTGAATTTTTAATAGTATTAATGGGGCTGGAGGGAAGTGGCTTTGGAGAAGCAGGAATGCTACTGCAATGGAGTAGCACTTAATGTCTTGGTTAATAAAGATGAGGCAGCTCTTCCTTGAAAAATAGCTTATTTCACAGTGTCTGTCTCTTTAAAAGGGAGGGTTGGGGTGAAGGCAGGGGTTTTGAGTGGTATTTCGATGCTGAGCCTGCACATGCCACATCGTCCAGCTTCCACAGGCAAAAGTTAGCAACAGCCTCCTGACCCTTTGTCGATGTCAAGGCGGGTTGTGTGCGTGAGTGAGAAAAGGGATGGGGAGGGAAGATCAAGAAGGAACTCAAAAGAAAACAAACGGAGAGTCACTATTTTAATGAGAACTCAGACTTAATCCATCTGTACTTTCTGCCCAGTTTCCAGCATGTCCTTGAAAATAATTTCACTTTTCCTGCATTGTGTGTAAAACCACAGGCATGATTATGTGCCTAAAGGCACACACCAGTCTTCCCCTCCAGCTCATATAGAAGCTGCTTGCACTGTTGGCTGAATTTTAACATGCTTGTACAGACAGATAAATTTCATGAACCCTCTTCTGCTGATTCCAGTTGGTTTAGCTCATTTTGTTTTGCTTGCTTTATTGTTTGGGCATCGAATGTCCCAGCTCTCCCCAGTGCACACACATTTGGTTTCTGACTAATGGGAGGCCTCCGTCAGAGAGACGGCGTTTGTCATTTGAAATCCAGCATGTCTTAGAGTCAGGTCGTGACTCAGATACCACAAACTGTATACAGAATAGACCACAAATTCCTCCAGTAAGATTGAACAAGGCTTTCCGAGAAGCCACTTCCCCCGCTGGTTATATCCTAACCCTGACTGACAGGTAGCAAGCAACAGCGGTTCTCGAGTGGCATTTTTTTTTCTAACTACTTTTTGTTAAAATCTTTGTCTGCTGCATTCATGGCTGTTTAAAATCCTGACCTTTCCTGTGCATGAAGAACAGTGCTTTTGGGTAGAGAGGTAGCAATTTTGGTTGGTTACAAACACTGGCACCAATTGACTTTAAGCTCTCAGGGTTTTGAGCAGACACAGGTTTGAACCAGGACAAAACTGAGCCTGAGCTGTTTGGGTTCCCTTGAGCTGCAGCTCTCATGTGCTTTATGCACCCATAAATTGGCCAGGGTTTGCTCGAATGGTTCCTGAACTTTCCCAAAACCTTTGATGAACCCGCTAAGGGCTGAAGGGGGTAGGAAAGGGATGGAGGGTTGCAAGGAAACCTGAAACCAGGTAAGCTTCCCAGGCCGAGTGTTTTCTGAGGCTGGAGATCCTCATTTTGGAAGCAGAATTGGAGTTAACAAATATGTTAACAAACCTCACACGTTTGCTAACCAGTAGTAAATCCCAGCTCAATTTATTACTGAGTACAGCACCTTGGCATAAGTCCTCAGTGTCATTTTGGAAGCGGATGGGGGGACAAGTCATGATCTTATATCCTAGCTGGAAAATGGGAGTCATGAGAATCACATGAATTCCAGCCTTCTGATTTAACTTCTCTGGTTTTCTTTCTATCTTTCCTTTTAACGAAACAAGAGAATTCATCTGCCAACACTATTCTGTGCTCTTTTGTCAATAGAAAAGTTGTTTTGCTAATGGTTATCTGTCTGCAAGTCCTTGACCTGCTTGTAAACACATTTCTGCAGGAAAACCCCAGGCCATGGCCTCGAGCATTTACGTCAACAAGGAAAGATAAAGTGACCAAAACTTAACCTGATCTGGCCTGGAGTGCCCTCTACTGCCCCTTGACCAAATACTTCCCTAATCTGTGTCCTTCTGAAAGGAACAGATTGTTGTGTAAGAAGTATTACCTGGAATAAACTCAATTTTGGGAGCCTGACTTCCTCCTCCTTTTCCCCTGCCCATATTAAAGTCTATTGAATCACTGGAGGTTAAGGAGCAAGGTCTGGGTGGGTTTTGGTGGAAGAGCATGAGTTTTCCCCCCACGTCATGCCCTTTGTCCCTACTCCAGGCATCTGTCACCTGAGGACAGCTCAATGGGTCAACCCTGTCCACAGTCCGTCATGCCACGTTAAACACGCCACCTTCCAAGCCGTGTAACAAATGCAGGCAAAACTGAACTCTCTGATCAAGTTACTTTTAAAAGCCATTTGCTGATCCCCCGGGATTTGTTCTGGATTCACACAGCACAAGCAGATGGTTTGATACAACCAGGATTCAGAGAGTTGCTAAACTGGGAGCAAGGTCCCAAATTGTGGTGGGGTGCTCTAAGACCATCTACCAGCCCGGTGGTGGTGGGCTCAAGGGAGAAGGGCAGGCAGAGAGCCACAGCGGTGTGATGGAATGAGCATCCCTAGTTTGGCTGCTGCATCTGCTCATGGAAGCTGGAATAAAAGCAGTCTGTAACCGAAGATGATTCAAGGGATTAAATGACACCAAGTTGCTCTTGGAAGGAAGGAATATGTTTGCATACTTCTTTTTTGTAAGAGCTGGGCTAGAAATGTCAAGGTGTTTACTAGATGAGAAATGTACACTGTGGAAAATACTATGTTAGGTGCATAAATGAGAAAAGGGGAAAGCACAAGACAGCTTTAGAGATAAAATGACAAACTCCAATTGCAGCTCACAATGGAGGCACTCCGTTTGCACCCTGCTTAAACCCCTCCAAGGCCACTGCATTAGGAAGTTGTATGACTGATTGAAAATCTGCTGGGTCACATCCCTCCAGGGCAGTGTTTTTTCCATGTCTTTAATTCACCC